TCTCTACCATTCTACCTTGAGCAACTTGCAATGCCTTGGCCACACACCTCTATTGACACATCAGTGAACTCAGTCAGTCTAACCCAAAGTGCGAGGTTCTGAACTGTTTATCATGTGTTGATAGTCACATGGAGTTTGGGCTTAACAATTAGTTTGAGACTTCTCATTCTCTTCCTCAAGCCTAATTGTGCTGAGGAACTGAATGCCCTCTGCCCTTAACCCTTCTGATCCAAACTTTACCCATGAGTTCTTTGAACTTTTGGCTTTTATCATAGGAATCTTGATCAGTCTATTGGTGATCATACAGCTGTGCTATGGACACCAATCAATTGTAGCTTGGACAATCAGGCACTATCACGAATTCCAATGTATTTGAACTATCCTCTGAAATGTCACACCAGACCTCCCTCTCCATGACATCCCTGCCTCTGCTCAACAATCCTTCTGAGCCACAGAAGGAACAGACTCCAAAAGCATCTCTGGGAGCTTGGCTCAAGGGCATTCTAGGGAAGAAGAAGAGGAGCAGTGTCAGCAGCAGCACACATACTCTCCATGACCCCCCAACAGCAGTCATCTGAAACCCTGAAAACCCTTGAGCTGCAGGGTTTCAATGACCTAGACCCGACACCCCCATCCTATCCCCCCAGCACAGCATCACAGCAACTAGGACAACAACTCCCAGCCCTAGCACCAGCATTGGGCACCATGCTAGAGACTCCCTGGATGCCTCACAGATGGCTCAAGGGACTGGAAGTCCTAGGGGCAGTAGGTCTCAACACACCCTGTCAGTCCAAAACAGAAGTATTGATGGCCAAGATGACCCCTATTGGAATGACAACAGCAATGAGTGCCACTGGTGGTGAGCCACTGCTGCTGAGGCTGACAGGATAGAGTGCCGCCCAGTTAGCAGTAATACTAGCTGAGCAGAAAGCATATGAGTGGTTCCAAGTAGAACACAACCAACCAGCTCTTTCGTCATGGACCCCTCGAGAGAGAACCCAGTATGATGTGCCCAAGATCTTCCCGAGTACAGGCAGGACCAGGCATGTATCGACAATGAGATTACGAGGGAGAACATCCTCTTCGGGAGGTATCTCCAGGCATGAGCAGCAGAGGAGCGCAGAAGAGGTGAGGAAGGTAGCAGGACCACAAACTATGTTGGAACCACCACCCCCGACTTGCCCTTCAGGGAACCTACCACTCCTATCACTGAGTCCAATCCCTGGGCAGACTACCAAGAAGAGACCCAGCTCTATCTCGATGACAACCGCCCATTATCTTATGGGACCGATACCATTGCAGAGATGGAGGACATCTCAGTCTGAGGAGATGGAATCTCAGCTGAGAGAGGCACCATTGGGGGAGACAATGAGGGTATCGACCCCACTGGCCATCTCAAGAAGTTCCTCGATGGGGCTTTTGCAGCCCTTTTCCTCAACCCAAAGTTTTACAGAAACTTCCATCAGTATCACAGAGCAATGGCATCAGGAGCAGCAACAAGCATTGAGGAGTCACCAGAGCAGCCCAAACAACAGCCTGCTCCTCACCCTGGACCTAATGATGCTGGATCCAGTATGCAACTCCAGTCCGACCAAGCCAATAATCTATAACCTGCCTGGCAGTTCCCTCCTCGAGGGTGAGAAGGCAACCAATGCAGATGATGAGGCTGAGGAGATGGACCCCAGCCGAGAGGGCAGGGATCTGCTCTCTAGCTGGAAAGAAAAATTCAAACTGCTGACAGAAGAGGAATTACAATGGGAGGCATATAAGGCACAAGAGGAGGAGTTTATTCGGTTGTACCAAGAGCAGGTAACTGAATTATGGAAGGACAATCTCTGGCTAAGATCATCCCTAGGACAAAGGTATACTTTCGCTGATTTCATTGAAAAAGAGGAGATTTTACAGTATGCGGCCACTGAGCAGGCCATTTCTAACTTTAATCAAAGATATTTGCATTACCAGATGGGACCACTGCCACCATACAAGCCAAAATATGGCAGAAGAATAGCACTAAGAATGTGGATGCTGAGTGTAATGCCATCCAAAATGACAGACACAGCATCATCAATCTGAACAGCATCTTCCCAATACTCATTCACCACATTGGCCATTTGCAGCATGGCATCCCGGCTCACTAGGAGCTGACCACAGGCAGACTGGCAACATCCCAGCTTATAGAGGCTGCTGCCTTTCCCATGACCATTTGCTGAACAGCCATCTCCAGACGAAGCCAAGAGTAGTGGGAAAACTGCACCTGAACCACCTCCCTCAACCAAAGATGACCCTGAAGCACTTGCCCAAGGCTGGACCATCAGGAATGGGAGGATCATGCAAAAAGAGGCCCCAAAACTAGGAAGTCCCATTGCCGATGATGGATCCCTCCACTCATTCTCAGGGCCTCCAAGTGGATGAGCACAACCACCCCATAGTGAACTTCTAAACCTGATGCCCACCCTTGATGCTAATGCTCAGATCCTCCAAGTAAAACCAATCCTCTGCACCAAACCCTGCTCCTTCCAAGAGGTATCCAATGACATCAACTGCTTCCTGGTTGACTGTGACCAATATTTCCAGGTGTTTGCCTCATATTTTCTCACTGACATGTACAAAATGACTTTTGCTGTCACCCACATGGTGGACAAGGCCAAAATGTGGTGGGTTCTGATTGCCCCCACATTCTGGTCCACCATCAGGGACCATCACTGATACCCTGCATGGCCAGTCTTCAAACAGATGATCAGGGATAAATTCATGGACCCTGCTGTACAAAAAGTCTATAAACAGAAGATGAAGGAGTTCAAGATGGCTGAGAAACTGACCACTGAATACTTCGATGAATTAGAGCAGCTTGGCACACTCGCAGGGGTCTGGGAGGACATCACTGATACCAGATGAATGGTTGAATACATGAAAATGAGATTACCATTCCATTACCTCATAACTATTTCAGATATCAGCCAGGACATTCCTATCAGCTATAATAAATGGAAGGGCCAAATCATTACCATGTATAAGGAGTGGCAACAACAGAAGGCAGAAGCAACTACCTTGGCATATGGCCATCAAAGTCAGAGACAGGGCCTGAAACCCTTCACCCCCAGTGCAACTGCGTCCACCAAGCCTGGCAGCTTGACCCCAACTTCTTATGGCATGAAGCAAACTGGTACAGGCACCATGTTTACTGGAATGGGTCAGCCAATGGATGTGGATCACCTCAAGAAGAGGGGGAAGTGTTTCAATTGTGGCCAGAAGGGCCACATGGTATGAAACTGTCCTCAGAAGAAGAACAAACACACTCAAGAAGATATTCAGGTGTAGATTGCCAAGCTAATGAAGGAAGATGAAGACCTCAGGCCAGATGACAAGCCTGAGAAGGGAAAAGGTGAGGCCAAGCAGTGAGCGATTCTGCTGACTCGGCCAAAGAAACAGATAGTGGGTCACAAACTGCTGGACAGGCTGACATTTTACTCTCTGTAGTACCATCCTCTATGTTTAAATTATGTGTGCATTTGAATATACCCAACCCTATTATCCACCATTCAGAATCACCTAAGGAACCAACTCCTACAACTCAAGTGCCAACGAAGAGCCAAACAGAGGCAGAGAGCCCCAAAGGTGCATCATCATCAACAATTTCTCAAGCTAACAAAGTAAAACAGACTCAACTGCCTCCAGGCCAAACAGGGGCAGAGAGTCCCATGATGTGGCTCAAGCCATTTGATACCAAATGGACTTGGCAAGCCATCAAGGATGCCAAGAATGAAGCAGCAGCAAAGGCAGTACTCAAGAACTGGGTACATAAGACCCAAGCCGAAGAAGTGATCAATGAAATGATCACTGGGATAAAGACCACAGAACAATGTTGGGTCTTGGAATGGCTTGATGAACTACATGGACCACGAAAATTCATCCAATGAGCTAAATCCCCAGGAAAGGATTTACTAACCAAAGCACAGATCAAGACATTAACATCCCGATCAACCCATGCAGTCACTGCTTTGATTGACAGCAGCTGCATGGGAAGTAGCATCAACTGGGCTTTCATCAACAAGCATCAGTTGCCCACTCAGGCAACAGCAGCACCTATCCCAGTCTACAATGCAGATGAGACAAAAAACCAAGCCAGATCGATTACTGAATACATAGAGCTTAGACTCACTATCGGTGATCATTCAGAACAGATTGATTTAGCAGTAACTGATCTAGAGACAAAGAAAATATTCCTTGGTCATGATTGGCTGATCAGACACAACCCACTGATCAATTGGAAGACTGGACACATCATTTTTGCTCGATGTTAATGCCAGAAGATTCCATTCGAACTACCAGATGAAGATCCCAAGGATCGATGGGATGAAGAAATGGAAGATGGTGAAACTATTCTCACCATCAATCTACAAAGGGCCATTAGCATTTGG